AAAATACATGGAAGGATGCAAAATGTGCACACACAAAAAGATGCAACAACACCCATGAGCTGTAACTCAACCACTGGATGTACCATCAAGTTTATGGGAAGAGGTAGGAGTCAACTTGATAATGCAAACTCAGTGGCATTCCAGCTGTAAATGACCGCATACAGATACTTCGGGAAGCCAGACAGGATGCAGGGGCTGCATTGCACTTAGGTAAAAAGCAACAGAAGGAAGGATATGAATGAGAAAAGCAGAAAGCTCACCAGTTTAAAGTTGGTAATTTTGTTTGGCTAAGTGTGGAGGACATCAACCTCCAACTATCCAGCAAAAAGCTAGGAGACCGGCTGCTTGGACCGTATCACATCCTAGAGAAGATCAGACCCTTGGACTATTGCCCTTGACCTCCCTATTTTCCTCAACCACATTCACCCAGTGTTCCATGTTGACAAACTCTACCCCTGGAAAGGTAACACTATCAATGGAGAAATTCCTACACCACTAGAACCAGTCTATCTCAAAGATGAAGACGAGCCAAAGTATGAGGTGGAGGATATCCTGGATAGCCAAGTCCGGTGGAAGAAACTTGAATACCTGGTCAAGTGGAAGGGCTACGATGCAGGGCACAACTCCTGGGAGCCAGCTCCCAACCTCAGTCAGGCTTTTCACAAAAAGCATCCGACAGCAGCGAAACCTTGGCCATCGAGGGCAATGGTCATAAGGAGGGGGGTAATGTCATGAAGTACGCAACCCCTATTATTTTCCTTTCTCACCATTGCGACGCCTCTACTTGTACAATACATCATCCCATCACGATTACATTCCATCGCTGTCAATCCCCCATCGATTATTGATCCACCTGACCCACCTCTCCTTCTACTGGCTTCCGCCACCTTCCTTGCCCCTGAACTGTACAGAATTACATTGTTGTTTCTCGCAGACCAGATTATGTATGTATAGCCAAACCCCCACAGCCTGGTCCCTTATCCTGACCTCTCTGTCATTATCTTGGGACCAGGTATGTGCTTACTTATTGTTACCTATGACTACAATACTCAATATATTTCTGTCATTATCTTGGGACCAGTCCACCTATGCTCTGCTCAAGTCGCTCCACCCCGCTCTCCTGCTCCATTAAGTCACTCAGCCTCTGCTGCTTTGTGACAGTTATAAACTAACTTTCCACCATGAATTTTACTTCGTATTGGCAACTTTGTGAGTTAGTTAAATCTGAGATTTGTGACTTCACAGCTCAGGGTGACCAACAACGCCCCCTGTAAACATTTAGTTTGACCTGCCTGTCACTGAACAATTGATTGAAAGTTTGCCCTTTGCTTCATTTTGACCCTCAGGATTTACTGATACTTTGTGGTACCCAGATAAAATTGCACTGTGGGGATGAAACCCTAATGTTGTAGTGAATATGAAGAGATTAGGTACAAAACTCTCCAAAACTCTCCAAAAATTCTCTACCAGAGTTTGCTGAGACTTCACAAAATTTTCTCCATGAAACAATCATGAACATGGCAGGAAACACAATTATTTTGAATATTCCTATATTGATTTTAGCCTAATCCTTAGCAGATTGTATAATCTCAGCTACAATTTTTTACAAAATTCTCAAAAATTTCAGCCTATCCTTCATGAGAAAAGTCCTTCATCCCTGCAGTGTTGGGCTTTCCAAAATTTATTTACTTTTTATGCAATGTATATCCACTGTCTCCACTGTCTCTGTCCCTGAACAAAGGAAATTCTTTTTTGGAGACAACTAGGATGTACCTACATACTATGTAAACAGAAAGCTATTGAATATGTCAAGATCCTTATATGACTTTATTGTTGTGTAACCACCTCACTCTCTTCCCATTCCTCATCGACACTTTCTCTGTCACTATCTTTTCCCTGTTCCCCCTTTTCCAGAGCACACCTCAATCCTCCCCAAACTCCATCTACAACCCCCATGCCCCCAGCACATGCACCCACCAATGTTGTTGCATAATAGAAATTTGCATTCCCGCGTCCATGGGTGAGCCACAAATGCGCAAAAAGTGGTTGGAGAAGAGTGGAATGGAGGAGGGTGAGAAGGGCTGGGAGGGGAGTGCGGAGGACTGAAAGAAAGTTATCAGTGATTAATTGATTCATCCAAATGAACAACGAGAAGTAAAAAGGTCAGTACAAATGAATGGAATGAAGAAGACCGAACAAAAACAAAGAACACACACTTACATGGATACACCTCCCCAAAAATACCCCACATCACAAGGAACAGACCCTGATCTGAGAGGGTCGGGTAGGGCTTGAAGGTTGCGAGGATTCCGGTAAGAAGGAAGAGAGCATAGAGAGGATCGTGTCTGTGTTGAGAAAGTAGGTAAGTAAGGCGTACAGGAGAGATAGGAAGGAGTAGGGGAAGCAAAAGGAAAACGCACTGAAATTTGATACATATCGGTGCGACGTACATCAATAGGTGGACCTATTTGTAGGTGATTAGTGAGGCTGAAAAAACATGGGAAAAACACATTGAATAACGAAAACAAAAGAAAAACAAAAGAGGGATGAAAAGAAACGCTGCGGTGAGCCAAGAACGAACATAACAAAGACAGGAAACCGGAGAACATGAAGAAGTGAGTGAATGAATGGAGAATTAGTGGATGAACAAGCAAATGAATAACTTTTGTAGGAGTGGAATAAAGGAAAAGCAATGAACGAATCGAGCGCTTGATCGCACGTCCGGTAATGAAAATATAAACGAAACATTGCAGCAAAAGAAAGACATGATGTGATACCACCAAGACCCGAATCTGAAATGAAGGCACAAAGACATGAAGAAAAATACACACGACATACAAAAAAACAAACAGCACATCCACCGATAACCATAAGACTTCAAAAAATGAAAGAGACGGAATGACAGAATACATTCCGATAGCTCACCTCGAACACGACCAAGAAAAACGCTCTGAAATGATCGAACATTTCTGTGAAGAAATACCACCAAAGGCCGGGATTTGGTGTAAGAGATGGGAGAGAAAGGCTGAATACGAAGAATTCAGCCTTTGTCACCAACGAGTGATTTGATGCGGAGACTCACCTCGCACCCCAAGTACTGCCCATCCATCCCCAATGACCGACAATCAACGTTGATACGAGGCTAAGTGCGGCAAAGTATACGAGGAACTCTAGTATGACCGGGAAGACTGCGCGAAGGATTGGATGAGTCTGGGGATGTAGAGGCGACTGAGACTTCGCCTGTGTCTCGTCATTGGATTTTGACTTGGATTCTGACCCGGAATCCGTCTTCGCATTCGAGTCAATCTTTGCCTTGGACTCTGCCTCTACCTGGACGTCCTGCTGCTTCCCCGAAGATGGTGTCGCCAGAACGAACGCTCCTGGATCCATCAACCTACTCCCCGGGCCAGCAAGTATCAGCATAACCAGTGGGGGGAGGAGGATAATAGCATCAAGAGAGAGATGGATACGAAGCGCAAGAAGGAGGAGGGATTTTGATTGTGCGGAAGAGTGGAAGGGTTTATCTGAGGTGGAGGAACGAGTGGGTGAGGAAGCCTTCGATGAAGATGAGTCAGTATCTTGCCCTCCGTCTACCTTTGGTGCCACGTCTGCTGAACTGGCGCATTCGCATCCCCACGCCACGGCACCCAAGAGCACCGCGTTTTCCCAAGCGCTTGTGAAACGCGCAAGAGAGGGGAGGATATGGAATGGGGAGAGGAGGTAGAGTGCTGGGAGGAGAGAAGGAAGGAGGATGTCTGGTGATGAGGATGCCAAAGACGTAGATGTAGACGACGAGGATGACATTGACAACATACCCGTCCTCCTCGTCCTGGCCCTCCATATTCTCACCAAAAACCACGCTGACAGCGCGTCGGGAGTTATCCAGAGGATGATTTCGAGGAGTGTTGAGAGGAATTTGTATATATTTGGTAGGTGGGATGGTTCGGTGGTTGAAAGGACTGGGAGAGAAGAAGGGAGGAATGAAAAGGAGAGATATAGCGGCGACTTTTTACGCGACACGTAGAAAGATTCGTAAAGAGAAAAGTGAGGTATCCAATTAGCAATAACTTCTCTCAAGAAACAGGAATGAACGGACGAAATTCAACTCACTACACCAACCCTTCCCCGTCCGTCTGCATATACATCCACACCACATCTATACAACCACATTCCTTCCTTCAGGTTCGCATACGATGTCAAAGGCGATGAGGCACTGAGCAATCCTGGTCCAGTTGTTATGAGCTCAACCACTGAGTTCGCTCCACCACTGGGTGAAGAGGAAGAATAGTATACGTTGTCGCTTGTTATGTTACTGAAGCGAGCAGGCTGTTGAAACGACGTTGCCGAAGCAGATAAATAGAACTCCAATCCAAACGCTAGCAAGACGCGAAGAGCAATACATAGCGCCATGGAGTTTCTGAAAGAAGCCCAAGACATCGGAGATGACTTGGAGGAGGGAGACGACGATGAGGATTTCAAGGACTTTGCAGATAAAGACATGGTCGAGGATGCTGCCAGCTTGTCCACTTTTCGCCCTGCACTATATGCGTGCCAAGTGGCGAATTTCGCCAGAAAACCTCCCTATGCTTGAATATTTAATCCTTCAAATGTAGGGAACGAAGCAGTTACGGAGACAGTGATTTCTGAACAGAATAACCCAGCACCTATTATTATTGCGAGCAAAGCGAAGCAATTCAACGTGAGTTGTTAATTTCATGATCCCACGATGTCACAGCCACATCCCGATTAGGTTTCTTCGCCTCTATATTCGCCTCCTTCGTCCGGCTCGGAGGGGGCCTTTTGGCCCTCCAATCCAACATGGAATACTCGCTTCGTCGCTTCGAGGTGTTAGCTGAGTAGCTAGTGCTATCGCACCTCGGTACAATAGGTAGATCGTACATACTATAGCTAAGAGGGACCTGCAATAGGCCACACTCAATGCGACTGCATGTTAACCAAATTTAAATCCATTCCATCAGTTCATAGCTTCACATGCGTATGGTTCGGTGGTGTAGTGGTTATCACGTCTGTCTCACATTAAATGTTGCACAGGAGGTCCCCGGTTCGAGACCGGGTCGAACCATGAGGCACTGTCGCCATTTTTTTTCAAAGCTACTTGATTAGGTGGTACAGTCATGTATCACCATTTGGGATGATGAAATTTCTTGGTCGAAAATAAGTACATCACAATCTAAATAATGCAGTTACTCTAGGCTAGGCAGATACAAGGCTACCAGTACAAAGCTTTTATCAACTTGGTTTTGTTATCTGAGGAGGGACGTCAATGCCAGCCTTTAATCAGTACAGGAAGCTGTTATCAGTCGAAAATCACCATTTGGGATGTGACAAATCACGCCGATAAGATGCTCTGATAATCTATTTTAGGGAATTGATCATGTGCTTTACTGTAATCAATCAATCAGACTCAACACCATATCCACTTTGGGAGTGCGTGATGTGACAAGCCCGTTGTTGTTCGTTCTTTCTACTGGTGTCAAACATAGTTTCCTTGCTTCTACTTGGATCAAAGCTTGTGAACAGGTGTATTGATGTAAGAAGTACATTAGGGCAAAGTCACAGCAGTTCTCTGTTGCAATCAACAACACAATGACCCAAACAAATTTCATTTCATCCCAAATCAACACTTCATTTCAATATCCTGACAGCAATACTTTGGGTCTCTCTTCTCAAATTTGACAGTAGTGTGCAGCATGAAGTCTTTTAACTCTTGATGTAGCCAGGAGTTTATGTATATCATTAAATCAAGTAAAAATCCAATTTGTCCCATTTGATGATACCATCCCAAATGGTGATACATGACTGTACCTAAGTCGCTTGCGAAAGCACCACCCTTTCAAATATTTTAGCTGTAAATTACCCAAAACTCATCCGACGAGGTGTTTACAATCCTTTCAGACATAGAGCATTCTCCCTTCGGATCCCAAACCTTGACAAAATTTTATTCTGCAAAACTTCTTTACGGACATACAAATAATAAATATCATACACTCTCCGACCTGACATCACCCCATGAGATTTTTGAAGATGGAATTGGTGGCAGGACGCTCAATTGTCCGAGTTTTAAATGACCATTCCAATATTCCGTAGTACCGGCAATCGCGGGACCGATTTTCTTCCATGTCACTTGAAACCAAGTCCGCCATAGATTGACGATGGAAGCGCATTGTATCCAATTGCCCGCTATGATGAAATCCAGTCTGTATTTCTACCCCACCAGAAGCAAAGGCTCGGACTGTTCTGTCAAGAGTGTAATCTTGGGTGATAAGAAGGAGGACAACAACTGGGTAAATTCCCTGAAATTTTTATCAGCAGATGGACTGGCCTGGTTGGAGTCACTTACTGCAAGCTGAGTGCTGACAGGTGTATACAAGTCAGCCACTGTCCCATCTAAACCTTTCAGTGGTATAAGCGAAGACATGAGCACAGTGAGCTGTTCCACTGATGATTAGAAAAACACACGTTGAATGAAGGGTAACAACGCACACAAGACACCGAGTACAAGGCTCCCGTCTCGATGAGGAGAACGAAATTTTTTCCCGCCCGTGAACGTCCGTCAACAGCTGTATCCAAGTTGTTTCGTATCTCAGTTCGGCTTCTCCTGATAAATGAAATAAGCAGCATTCCAAACGATGTGAAGAGACAGGCTGGAAAGAGACAAGAAAGTTGACCGAGCCTTCAAAGAAATTAAAAATGTCGCCAGCAACTTGAAGTTCGTGAGAAGGGACAACACCAGTGTTGCCACCTGTGTAACGTTGATACCGTGGTTCAACTGACTCCCCATCTCTCAGGTCTCCTTTATGTCAATGACCATGAATGTGATACGAATAGCAATTGTGGCTATTACGGAGACGTAGAATAGAATGAAGAGTTGAAGGGCAACAGAATCGATAATAGAAGGAGTCAACTTGTTCGAAAAGAAAACTACTTGTATTAAGTATACGCACCCATAACGAGACCGAGCATAAACAGACACATCTTCAAAGTCTTCGTTCCATCCACCGAGCATAACACCCATGCACGCCAGACGACTACTCCATCCGTGAGGACATACTGCATCAAACAGTAGTAACACCATGATTCAGTGACTGCACAACAACAACAAAAAAAACCAAGACGGGACGCACGTTAACCAGTATCAATGCATTGAATAAAGGTAAAAGTCGGTCCACTTCGGGCATCAGGATCAGCAGCGAGGAACCAGACTTGGATTAGCCTAATCAATGTCGCTATCGATGCGATCCAGTGCGTTGTCGATAATTTGAACATGAATATGGTCATCCCGAATAAGATCTTTCGTGCTCTTGTAGCGAGTCCCCTGCGGCTATAGCTGCAATGGCATGTAACAAAGATTAATGATCAAGCAGTTATAATCGCAGTCGCCGCAGGAAAAAATGCCTGAGCCTCGACAAGTTTCTCCATGTTGACTGACCCGGCTCTAGAGAGGGTAGGATGAAGCTTACAGCATGACATAGGAAGAAACAGGAATCAAAACGGTGTATATTCCTGGCCAAAAAAATACCATTATCATAATTAATTCTTGATTGTAATTTGAACACGACGACACTCACCATATACGAACGTCTGTGGGATCACAGCGATAACATGGCCGCTGTTATACAACAGAACGATGGCATGTGCCTGCTCCTCAGCGCTATTCCGTGTCATCACACTCGATGTACTTGGATTCGTGTATCAAGAAAGGCGAAGGAAGAGGGTTAAAGGACCAAAAGGGTCGAAGGGAAACACGAATAATAAATGACAAAATGAAGCAAAATAAGAAAAAGAACTTGAAGAAAAGCACAATACTCCCGAAAGAATCAGATGGTTGTACTTGGACAAAGCTGTGACATCCTGACATGCAACGATTGAATGTATGTATATCTCGAAATAACCTACTTATCGCGAATAGGGAAGTCTCGTTGTGGTCCCTGTAGACTGCCTCGTCATGACATTTCGATAGAGTTCGGGCGCATGGATGCAGTTTAAACGACTATATGGAGCGCCACCGCCCATGAGACCTTGAAGTCTCTTGAAGTTTCCTCTGGCTGAGTCATCATTGAATAGAATAGAAGATCAGTCCAGGTTGATGCTGATGTCGAGGAAAAGTACGAGCTGAGAACATCGCATGTACAGTGCTTTGCGAAATGGTTTGCTTGCATGGATTTTTTACCAAATGTTTATTGCTGTTTATTTCTAGTTATTTGTCCAATACATTTTTGGGCCGAGGCTCGAGAGGGCTCTTTTTGAGGACCACCAGGGCTGTCGGGCTTCAAAAAGTGATTGATGAATCCTTTTTGGGGTAAAAATATATTGGACAAATAAATAAACACAAATAGATGTGAAAAAGTCGAGCAAGCAAAGAATTTCGCAAAGCACTGTAGCAGCTGTAGTCTTCGCGAAGAAGGATTCGGAATGAATCAAAGAAGATTATAGTATATGTTCAATTTTAATGAGAGAAATATATAGCGAGTGCGAGAACCTGAACTTGGGAATTCACACGCATCACCGTTAATCTCAATTTCATCCTCCTCCCATCATGCATCGGACTCCAAGAGGGATTCGACCTCTTGAAAGCTGGTGCCAATATGTAGAAATGAAGGGGAAAGTAGGGGAAACACCTTTTCAGAGGTGCGATTTTCGAGGCAATTTTGCTGACGGTTACCTTGTACACTGCACAGGTACTCCAGGGTACTCCCAGGTACTCGCTTCGCGCGCGATAATCCCTCAAGAAAAAATTCTAAAGTCCAACCTAGTCCAACCCATGACCCAGTACCCCTTCGCCCAGTACGACAAGGGTATAACCTGGTATAACATCGTCCAACTTCAAGCTTCAGTCACATCTGATTTGTTCAACCTCAGACACGATCAGAACTAGGCCGTCGGATTTTTTCACTCGTTTTGCTGTGGGCTAGCCGTCGCGGTTTCATGCTCTGCTCGTGCATATGCTACTGGGGAGGTATCTGGAGGCACCCTGCTGTTTTGTTGTCCCGGCCCTCGTAGACCCCTGCAGCCCTTGCCACTTGGAAGTATTCAGATCAACAAAGAGACCAGTCAAAGCTCAGAGACACCCGATCGCAGTGTGACACAGCGCAGTCCCACAGAGTATCGAGAAATGGTATAAAAGAGCTTCCGGAGAGTGAGTTATCTCCCCAAGCTGCTGGTCAGTTCGAAAAATCTCCGTATCGCCAAAAAAAGCCCTTTCCGCTCGTCTCCACCTTTCGTCTTGGACACCGTCTCGAATCGAATCGATCCTTCATTGACGTCTAAACAGAAATGCGTTTCAGCCTTGTATACCTTGCTCTAGGGCTCGCCTCTGCTGCGTATGCTGCTCCAGTACGTCGTTACCTACCTCACAGCAGCTAATAACTAAATTTCACAATTTTCTTCATCCAGTCCACTGCTCGAAGCCCCCGCCTCGTGACTGTCACTTTCCACGATAGGTCCGCAGGGGCCAAGCTCTCAGCGACGACGTCTGAACTCGAGCTAGACCCAAAAGTGAAGAGCGGGTTGGACAGAGTGATGCAGAAATACGGTCCAGGAGGTCCCCACGAGTTCCAGTACACACACAATTTCGAAAACGTTGACGACAAGGGGTTCAGTGTTGCCATGACAGGGTTCAAGCCGTGTAAGAACGGCTATACCTGTGTTTTTAATGTACTTTACGATGAGGCGACGAAGCCGGTTCTAATTAGCCTTATACCGAGTGCCTAGGAACGTAGAAAATTACTTTTACTGTTCATTGCCGCTTTCTTTTCTTCGACTTCTTCGATGGTGAGATTCTTGACAGACGAGAGTCTGCATGTGTGCCACCACGACTACCTCAATACGATTCAACAGCTGTCAGTCGGAGCCTAAGGGGGACTACTCCTGTTTGCGTGTGGCGAGGTATACGAGGGGGTACGGGATATAATGTACATTCATGGTACTGTAATGACCTTCATGGTGCCACACGACCTGTGGCTATATCATCCCCTACAGACATCTTACTACACAGAACCGATAAGCTAGGGATGCACGAGGATGCATGTAGCTTGTCGTGGCGACTCCTCGGTACGTACATAG